CGCGCCGAGCGCGCCAGGGGCGGCGCCGGAGGCGCCGCCGGGGGGGGGGGCCCAGCGCAGATCCAAGAGATCCGCGCAGAAAGACACAAGTTTCTGTTCATGCCGTTTTCGTTCTGTCGACCGGGGCCATCAGGAGGCGGCCTCTGGCCGCAATCTCCGGCGCCGCCTCGGAGATCGCGAGCGCCCAGGGCCGCCCCACGAGCTGCCGAGGCCGCCGAAGCCGCCGAGGCGCGGCCGTCGGGGCCGCCGCCGGGCGCCCCTCGAAGGCCGCTGGCTTCGGAGAGGCCGTCTGCCGGGCCTGCCCGCCTTCCGGCTCGCGAGCGGCCGCCAGGAGGCAGGCCGCCTTCTCGCTTATGCTGGCCGGCTCCGCTGACTCGGCGGCGAGCGAGGGGGAGAAGTGAGAGGGAGAAGGCCTTTTTCAGAAGGCGGCGGACCTCTCGGAAGCCCTCGCGCCTTCCGAAAGGTTTTCCGCGTCGTCGGGGAAGGCTGAGGGAACTTCTCAGAAGGCCGGGGGACTCCCGAGTCTTCTTGGAAGGCCCGCCCCTGCTCACTTCCCCCCCTCGCTCGCCGCCGATGGGAGGTAGGCCACGTTCTCGCTGATGCTGGCCGGCTCCACTGACTGCCCCGCCGGCGCGGGCGCCGACTGCAGCGCGTCGACGCAGTCCTTCGCCGAGCTCCTCCACCAGGCCCAGCACGGCGCCCATCGCGGTGGTGGCGCTCTGGTTGCGCTCAGGCCGACGTCGGCGCCACGGCCTCGGCGTGCACGCTCTGACCCAGAAGTGGCGCCAGGTGGAGTGAGAGTGTTCGCAGGCCTACTGCGGGCCAGGCAGCGGAGGCCCCACTTAGCGCGCTGCACGTCGTGCTGCACCAGCGCCAGCGGCCGCGGTGCTCCCGGCGGACGCCCAGGCTTGGCCACCTCCTCGGGCTCGGCCGCGGTGCTTCTGGCGGGCATCCAGGCTTGGTCACCTCCTCGGGCTGGGCCTGCACCTCGTCCCAGACCACCTCGCGCTCGTTCCACCACCCGATGTTGTGGAGGGCCCACTGGACCCAGTTGCTGGCCTCCTCGAGCGCCTGCTCTCTGCCGAAACCCGCGTTGTCGGCAGCAGCCTCTGTGGCCAAACAGTCCACCCAGAAGTTGCCCATCGCGGCCTGCTTCGCCTCGCCCTCCAGGGCCTCCATGACAGCTCTGCTGCGGTGCGACTTGCAATCACGCACCCTGTCCACCGGGAAATCAAGGTCGGCGATGCGAACGCAGACGAGGCGCCAAACATCCGCATGGGCCCGCTTGCCACAGCAACACCACGCGGCCCCCCGCTGGAGGCCCTGGACGATGGCCAGGTTGTCCGTGTAGATGACACAGTCGCCACTGGTATGCCGCAAGACGTGAGGTCCAAAACTCCGCTCGCCCGACAGTCCGCTGCACCGGCAAGGTCACCCGCAGGGGCCCATGGGCCTGGACCTTGGGGCGCCCGCCTCTGTCGACCGACATCGCCCCCCAGCCAGTCTGGGCCCAGGTGAACCTCGCCAACTTGGAGTCGTCGCACACCACTACTCCTGCGAAGCTCGGGTCCCAATCGGGCTCGGCCTCGGCCTCGGCCTCACACGCCGCCGCACTGGGCTGCGCCAGCGTGCCAGGCCCAGCTGCAGCCATCGCAAGGGTGGGCACCACCCGGGGCCCAACGGGCTCGGCTGCCTCGAAGCCGCCGCCGACCCCGAAGACGTATCTTCGTCGTAGGCCATGATCGCGTCATGCGCACTTCGCTGCACCTCGAGCGCCCAGAGCGCCTCCATGCCCAGGCCATCCGCGAGCGCGGCATCTCGGGACCCCGCAGAGACGCCTGCCGCGGCGGCGGCCAGCGTCTCGCCCTCGGGCTGGTCACCCGCCCCCACGTGCCACGTGACGAGCTCCCCAACAGGCCAGGATACCCAATCCGCAGCAGGATGACGCACTAAGCCCTGCGTCCAGGTGACGTTGTCCGCCTCCCGCTTGGCGACGTGCTGCCACTTGCGCGACGCCGCCAGGCGGTGGGACTGCGCCCGCGGGCAACAATAATACCTGTGGTGAGCTGCGCCTACCTCCGCGTGGCACGTCTGGCAGTACGGCGTATCCACCTTCCCGACATCGTACAACGACGCCTACGTCCAGGGGCCGTGCACCACAGCCTGCATCACCGCATTGCGCGCGTGAAGCCCCCACTCGGGCGACGCGTGCGCCTTCAGCTTGGCCACCTCTGGCCCCAGCAGCGGCCTCGGAGTTACCTAGGCCAGATCCTCTGCCGCCGTACGCTCGGCCCAGATGTGGCACTCCAGGTCATCTTCCAACATGGCCTGCACATCCATGTGGCATACGTCCGAAAGGCGCAAATGAAGACGGCGGCGAGGCCTCTGTGCAGCCACTGCCAGCCGATGGGGCGGGGCCGCCGTCGCGGGCGCGGGGCCAGCCCTGGCGGCAGCGGGGACGAACCGCCCGCTGCTCGGCACCGCACCCATGCGCCGCTGCGCAAGGCGACCAGGGTGCGTGCTCGGAGCGCAGCGGAGCGGGCGGAGGAGCCCGCCGCGGTGCGGCCGCGGGCTGAGGCGCCGCGAGGGGCCAGCGCTGCGGGCGCTGTGCCGCCGCCGCAGCCATAAGGAAGGCTCCACTTGGTCGAGGACCTGCACGGCTACACGGTGTGCACTGGGTGCGGCGCCTACGCGGCCAAGCGTACGGTGCTGCTGGGGTAGCCGGTAGCCGTGCCCAGGCGAGGCCGAGCGGCCGACGCCGGCGGAGCGGGAGCGGCGGCGCAGGAGCAACCGCATCCGCGACGGCTTGCACCCGACGGCGGGCAAGCCGCCCCTGCTTCAGAGGCCGCGGCCGTGAGAGGGCGCCAGGCTGCTGGCGGGCTCGCTGTGGCGGGCGCCGAGGCGGCGCTCAGGGTGGCCCATCCCTTCGGGTGGCCCCTGGGCGCGGCTGCAAAAGCGGGAGAGCTCCGTCGAGCTCTGAGGGGGGGCTCCGTCAAGTCAGGGGTCCGTGTGATTCAACTCCAGTTGTGTAGGAGTGCGCAGCAAAAACAACAACTTGCATACGACTATATGCACATACACATGCATGTACACACATACACACATGCACACATACACACAAACTAACATGCATGCACAGATGCATAATCACCTACAGGCCTACAGTCATACAGATATACATACATACATACATACATACATGCATGCATAAATACATACATACATACATACATACATACATACATACATACGTACATACATACGTACGTACGTACGTACATACATACATACATACATACATACATACATGACATGACATATCCACAGTCATACGGACATGTATGCCTGCATGCACGCATGCATACAGACATACACTCATCCATAATCACCTACAGACCTACATAACTATATATCTACATACCTACACATATGTACACATACGTGTCTACATAACTACATACACACGTACACACATCTACACATACATTCATGCATGCATGAGTGCATGCGTAACTATATACGTGCATACCTGCATACATGATCGTGTGCATGCATGTATGCATACTTATATGTATGCGTACATATGAAGATAAGTATGCATACACACATGCATACATACCTACATACATTCATACATACATGCATGCAGATATACAGACAGACAAGCATACAGGCATGCCTGACTACGTGTGTATATGTGCATGCATACACGCATGCAAACATACATATCTACATGCATGCATGCATACATACATGCATGCTTGCGTGCGTACATACATGCATACACACATGTGGACATTCATACAAACAGGCATGCATACATGCAAGAATGCACAAGCACGTGCCTACCTAAATACATGTAGACATGCACACATGCATACAAACAGACAAAGAGACAGACGTGCACGCATACGTCTATATACATATATACATATCTATACAGACGCACATGCATAAATACAAAAATGCATACATACAAACATGTATGCATACATACATACGTATACACACCAATCCATGCATACGTACACGCGTACACATACAGACATGCAGGCATACAGACATGCACACATGCAGACAAAAAGTCATACGTGCATACAAGCATACATACGTACATGCATTCATGCGTACTTACATATGGAGACATGTATGCATACATACATGCATGCAGATATGCCTATTGTCATGCATGCAGACATGCATACATGCATACATGCATACGTGCATACGTGCATACATGCATGCGTGAATGCAAGCATGCATGCATACATGCATGCGGGCACACATACATACATACATACATACATACATACATACAGACATACATACATACGTCCATGCATACGTAAATACACACCTAAACACACATATATAGACATACGTGCATACGTACACACATACAAATGCATGCATGCATATATATAACACAAACAACTACAAAATGCATACAGGCATACATTCATACATGCATACATGCATACATGCATAAATGATTAAATGCATAAATACACACATGCACCCATGCATGCAGTCATGCATGCATACAGACAAACAGACATGCAAATAAACATACAAACATACATCCATGTATACATGCATACATACGTACATGCGTACAGACATACGTACCTACACTCATACATGCATGCACGCATGCATACATGCAGACATACATAGGTGCATGCATACATACATAGATACACACATATATACATGCATACATACATACATACATACATACATACATACATACAGACAGACAGACAGACAGACAGACAGACAGACATACATATATACATACATGCATACATACATACATGCATGCATGCATGCATGCATGCATGCATGCATACATACATACATACACACATACATACATGCATACATACATACCTGACTACCTACATACATATATACATACAGACATACATACATACATACATACATACATACATACATACATACATACGTACGTACGTACATATATACATACATACATACATACATACATACATACATACATACATACATACATACATACATACATACATACATACATACATACATACATACATGCATGCATGCATGCATGCATGCATGCATGCATGAATACATACATACATACATACATACATACATACATACATACATACATACATACATGCATACATACACCTATACATACATCAACACGTACACTGCTTGACGTCGCGGCCACGCGCTCAGAGACGCGGCGGAGAAAGGCGGACGGGAGAATCGATAACCTGGTGCAGCGGCCGCGGTCGGAAGCTCAGGCAGCCCAAGACGACGTGCAATGTTCACCCACAGGGAACCGCACGGCACGAGTCTCACAGAGAATGCACACACGCACACACACAATGTTTTCGTCGCAGGCGAAGCAAAAACAATGCGCACCAGCGTGGGGCTAATCGGGGCAACCAGCCACGCACACCGACACACAGAATCCTCTGGGCCCCCTCGTGGGGCTCCCTTCCTGAGCCAGTAATCCTAGTCGTCTGGTTTTCGGGTCATAACCCGGGTCCCCCGCGCCCGTATGGGACGATCTGGGCACAGCCCGACGCCTCTCGGCGATGCGCAGCTGCTGGAGAGAACCCCGAGGCTGCAGGATCGCCGAGAGCAGGCGAATAATGACGGAAAACCACAAACCTCGAGCCTCCAGCCTGTCATCAACCACTCAAGGCGGGAAGCCTTGGGCGTGAATCAATGCGGGGACGAAACATGGGGGGAAGAAGGGTGCTCACTCTTCGGGCGCCCTACAGCCACCTTTCGGGCCCTGCTAAAGGGCCTATTTCAGGGGCGTTTCTGCCGCCCTCGCTGCCCCCCCCCCATCTGTCGCCCCTCCACTGCTTGACGCCCAAGGGTCGAGGGGCCTTCGCGCGCCGACCGGCGGGCTGCGCAGGCCTCCAGGCGGAGCCGCGTGCGCTCCTGCGGGGGCAGCACGCTCCTGCGGGGCGCGCGCGGGGGTCGGGCAAGCACCCATTTGGAGCAAAGCTGGACCCGAATGTTGCTGTTCGTTTTGTGTTCGTTTCGTCGTTCGGTTTACGCTACCTCTTTTCATGTACCTCCCTCCCAACACGAAAAACAAAACACAGCCGAAGTCCAGCAGAAGAGCGTTTGGGTCCAGCCCTGATTGGGAGGACCGGAATGGGCTCTCTAGGTTTCTTGATAAGCGTGGGGGAGTACCTCCCAGACGGGGGTCAACCTCGCCTCGCCGTCGCGCCGTGACGGGGGTCGGAGCGCCTTCGGCGCGCGGTGGCTGCCCGCGATGGGGGTCGATGTGGGGCTGTTGGCGGGGATGACGCCCCCCCCCCCGACGCTTATTAAGAAACTCGGGGTACGGAAAGAATGGCTACACCGACTAACGGCACTTCCTGTCCACTTGGAACAGGAACCGCTGTCGGCGTCTCCGCGGACGCCGCCCGTTTGATACAAGCGGTCGCGTGCCCAACAGCGGCCGCTGTCGGTGTTGGACAACATCATTTGTTCCGTACCAGTTTCGGGCGTCCAAAACCCAGGACGAGGAGCCAAGGGATCGAGGGTCGAACTTCGAAGCTCGAGCGTCGACATCGAGGGTCGAGGCTCGAAGTTGGAGACGGCTGGGGGGTCTGGCCTGGATGGTCACCAGCAGGGCCAGTCAGACGGGAAAGGAGACATCTCGAGAGGGCGGCCCGGAGGGAACAGGGAACGTGAGGGGAACGTTAGCTTTGACCAGCTCCAGGGGGGGCTGGCTCAAGGGGGGGGGGCTCGAGCTGGAATCGGCGATACAACGCCCATAGATTCGCAATAGGCCCAAGACAGCGAATTCCCACGTTCCTGGGCAGGGTGGGCTATTAAGCCCCTATCGGCGATGAATGGGCGTTGAGGGGTGGATGCATACTCCCCTGAGCCTATCCCCCGTAACGTTGCCCCTGACGGGATCGAAGATCGAACGTCCAGCCCCGAACGTCGACATCGAGGATCGAGGATTCGGGAGGTCGAGGATCGCACTCCGAGCCCCGAACCCCGAGCGTCGACCAGGATCGGGGAGCGAGGACCGAGGATCGAGGGGCCGAGGGGCCGACGGATCGAGGCATCGTGGGCCGAGCCTCGAGGCACCGAGGGGATCGAGGGAGCGGGGCAGGGGCGCGCCCAGGAGAGGCTCGAGGCAGGCGCGGGCGTGAGCAGCGGGGCCGCGGAGCGCGGCGCAGCTCCCGGCCGTGCTCGACCCCCCTGCCGGGGGGCCCCCTGGCGGGGGCCCCTCGCGGAGGCCCCCGCGGAGGCCTCCGCGACGAGAGGGCGGCCTCCGCGGGGCCTCGGGCCTCCCGGCCGCCCGCCTCCCCCTAGCGACGTGCGGATCCTCCTCTCCCTCCTCCTCCTCCTCCGGATCCTCCGCCTCCTCCTCCTCCTCCTCCTCCTCCTCCTCCTCCGCCTCCTCCTGCTGAGCGGATCCTGGCGGGGGCGGATCCTGGATCCCAGAGCTCTCCCCGAGACCGGGCCCCC